TGGGCCTCTTGTTTGGGCCTTCACCTTGACTCGTTTGATTGGACTTCATTCTTTGGACCGTCTGTTTTGGGGATTCTCCCATTAGGCTTTACTCCTTGGACTGTTCGACTTGGGCTGAATTTTTATGTGTCAACAATGTAAAAAGCAAATTCACCTGTTGTCTATCGACTACGCCTTTCGACTTGATCTTAAGCCCTGACTCATCCTCTATGGACAAACCTTGCAGAGGAATCCTTAGATTTTCAAGGCATTGGATAAAATTATTATTTAAAAATAAAATTGGCCAAACTTGTATCAGACCGATCTTCCAGAAATTTCGACACCTTATTTACTTCGCGCTAAAAACCCAAATGAAATTCATAAATCTGAATTTCTAATTAATTTCAAGCTCATTAAAAAATTCTCCCTATACATACTCCTAACCCTAGAAAAATCCCTCAATTCTGTTCACGGCCATCTCTCCCACGCACTTCTTACTCATTTTTTTTCAGAAGAATACGGAAGATCATTGCAATTTCTCAAGAGACGATCGACACCACTGAGTAGAGTGGCCTGCTCTCTCTCGTTATGTTCTTCTCACGTTCTGCCATCTCTCCCTTGCTCACTTCTTTGTCATTTCTTGCAGAAGAATCGTGGAAGGACAGAAGATCACTGCAATTTTTCAAGAGACGATCAACACCACTGAGTAGAGTCACTTGATCCAACTCCCTCACAAACATTTTCACATTTTAATTTTTATATATCTGGTGGAATCAGCTCTTTGACTTTGTATCATTTATTTCCTTCAGTCAATCAATTTCTGTAGAGACAATCGACATCATTGAGTAGAGTCCCATGATCCCTCTCCCCCTACACACATTTGCTCATGTTGAATGCCGTACACCCTTTGATTTGTATATATGAGTTTATTTTTTTGTTTATATTAGCACTACCATTTAATTACAATAATTGATCTGGTGCATTCAGCTGTTAGCACTTACGCTTTGAATCATTTAATTCCATGAGTCAATCAATTTCTCAAGAGATGATCAACACCACTGACTAGAGTCACTTACTCCCTCTCCCTCACACACATTTTCACATGTTGAATGCAATGCGCATTTTGATTTCTATATATCAGTTAAATTTTGTTTCTGTTAGCACTACCATTCAACTATAATAATTGATGTGGTGGGATCATTTGTTTGCACTTAGATTTTGAATCATTTAATTCCTTGAGTCATCTTTTAAGTTAATCTGTAATTTATTGTTCTGTATTGGTTTTCTATTCTTAATTGTGAGAAGCTCAAACAAAAATCACTAAGCAGATTTGAATGGACCAGAGAAAGAAAAGGTTAGTAATAATAATTCTGGAGGTCTAGAGAATCTATCAGGAATTGTTTTCATGTGAGAGTTAACTTTATTATTTTTATTTTTAACTTCAGGTTTATAATATTTTTGTGGAACGTTTATTTGAGATGTTTTAATTTGATTTTTGATAGGGAGGGTTTGGGGAATTTGCTCTAGCGTAATTTTCTTGGTAACAAATCCGATGCTGTTGCTGCTGCTGTAAGATTTTTATATCCTTCCTGTTAGTATCACGTTTTCTATGGGTTTTAAATCAACAAAATATTAACAGACTAGCTAATTTGAATTTTATACTTAACGCATGTGAATTTCGATTCCAAATTTTTACTAGAACTATGCCGATTATATTGTTAATATCCAAGCATGCGCAATAGTTTATATGGGAGCTACGGCATGAGAATGATGGAGTCTTTTTAGTTGTACCCCTCGCTCTTCTCTGGCTAAGGAAAATAATCGTTAATATAAAGCGGAAATTATGTCCTCTTCAGGCCTACTTTTTTGACCTCTGTCAATTTGTGTTGGAGCTCAGATTATTTTCATAGATTATTCCGAATCCTGTAAGTTTGACATGTTGAAGATGTTGGAAAATATTACGTTATAGATTGGAAAAGACTTTAAAAATCGCAAGAGGAAAAGATCTAGTTAGAGAGATCAGATTAGTCAGCAAGGAAAAATGATCTGGGTAAGGCAGAAAATGCTCCATGCCTCAACCCGATCGAAGTCTGCTTGATGGAAGAGAAGCGTGGGGGTCAGGAGCTTTTGATTAAAAAATACAGGGGGAAGGATTGTTTTGTGGGATTTAAGTTTGGGGCTTAGAGCTTCATTGTTATGCCTCCAGCTTTGGTTAGAAAAATTGATGTTTAAAGCAGTAGTAGATAATCGTCAAAGCGGAGAAATGGTATGAGGCATCAATGGCCTGATTCAGGCTTAAAATGCTGGTAGATGATTACCGTATCTCAAAAGAGAATTTTTGTTCTGGTTAATTGATTCGCTCAGTGAGGGACAAAAATGGTTTTTTCCAACATTCTCAGAAGGTATATGAGAAATCAGAATTAGGTACAGTTGCTGATATGAAGTCCAAGGAGATTGAGATGTCATATAGAATGAATCTTTTTCTCCTTTTGGGATGGGATGGACAGGGAGGTTAAAGAAAATGCCTCAAAATGGTACACATGAGAAGTTAAAAAAGTTATCTTCTCTGGAGGTTGTGCGAAAAGGTGGTCCTATGACGGATGATGAGCTACTTGATGAGCTACTGGCTTAATATTATCTCAGAGATATTTGACTAAATAATAAACTCAAAAAATAAAATTGAGAAAGTAAAAATGGTGAGATAAAAAGCATAGTGGTTAGCAAGTGCGATAGCCATACTACTTTTTGTGAAAGTAGTTATAAAGGTGTCAATATTATATGTTATTTTAAACTTAAAAAACATGGTTAAACATGAGCCAATTACTTGAGACACCACAAAAATTCACATTCCCATTTTTAACGTCATTACTTTCAGATTAATATAGAATCGTAAGCTCTATGAGGACTGGGCGATCTGATAGGAGGATTTTGAACTCGAGGGTTAAAGGGTTACAAACCACAAGGGACTTCTGGTTAAGAATTCCTCACATGAGCAGTATTGCAATCAGTGGATTTTATAACGACGTAAATTCTAGGTGTTGGACATTCTTCATAGAATAACTAAAGGTGGTCTAGAACAAATTTCCTAAAATAAAATTGAAAAAGAAGTAAGCTGATCTGGTATTAAGTACTATATTTTGCAATTTCCTCACCTATTCAGATCTTCTCATTCATTTCTCCGTATAGAATCTCTTCCTCCTTTCTAGTACTCTTTTAAATAAGTTATTTTGCAAATTCTTATTCGAATGGGTATGTTGATAATGAAATCCAGGATCAGATGTTGAGAGTGATGGCTTGCCCCCAAGAAGATGATTCAAGCTCCAGTTCAAGCTCGGGCTTATTAAGGCCAAAGAAATCACCGGGTATACAAAATTGAAGTGTACTTGAGTTTTACCTTCGAAACCATAAATTGTGACAGGAAGAAGGTTATCATCCTCCTGCCTTTTAACAACTATGTGTAGAGGAAGAGTTGAATCCCAATCAGTCAATTGTTATTGATAAACGTTTGTTCAAAACGGGGCTAACTTTCTCGTATCTCAAATGTCTGACCCAATAAAATGATCGAGTTGATCAGGGTAGGAGTCTCCAAAAACTCCATTCACTTCTCGATGGAATTGGAGCCTTTTGCATTCTCCCCAGAATTGGAAGATCAACCCATCAATCTCTACACGGCTCAGGCCATTCAAGCTTAGTTTGACCTGCTTGAACCTGTATTAATGACTCGGCTATTGCTTGAGATTTTCTAAACATAGCTCCTGTTATTCCATCATTAAGGTGTTCATTATCATCGCTTGAAATGGTCAATCAAGGTATTCACAATCAGAAAAAGTTTAATTGATCACAAAAGTCATAAAAGCATTTTGAATAGTACTTGAGAGACAAACAACAAAACATAAAAAAGAAAAGTACGAAAGGTAGAGTAATTCAGATAAAAAATAATAGAAACAGGTTGATATCAATAATCAAGCAACAATTTCATAACCTCACAGGACACTGAATTTCTGAAATATCCATATTTAGTATTAATGCTGATGTGCATTTCTGGCTTCAATAACGAAAATATGATGATTTGGTAAATCTCGAAATTCTTTTTTCTGATAACAATTGATCTCAAATAACTATACATCTCAAATTGAAGCTGAATTGTCTGATCAATATTTGTGGTAGTTGCACTTGATGCATCATCATCATCCCCAGTAAGGTCACTTTGTGTTCCACCACTATCATTCTCATGACCCTCCTCATCCTCAAGTTGTTCTCCATCATTCTCATCCCATGACGCTTTCAACTCTCTGCCATTGCAATCATAAAAAGATATACCAATAGGGCTTTTCTACAAGAGGCCAATAGTCATGCAACCATAATGAAGAATGTTTATGAAGGACTCTAGGCTGTTTACAAAATTCAAGTGTACTTGAGTTTTAACTTCATTATTTTTAAAACCAAAAATTGTGACAGGAAGAAGGTTATCATTCTCCTGCCTTTTAACAACTATGTGAAGAGGAATTTTTGTGACAAAATTCGTCTAATCGAGACGGAACGGAAGAGTCATTGAACCCAATTCCGATTGATTAGACGAATTTTGTCACAAAAATTCAACACATAGTTGTTAAAATGCAAGAGGATGATAACCTTCTTCCTATCACAATTTATGGTTCCAAAGATACTGAAGTTAAAACTCAAATGCACTTGAATTTTGTAAACAATCTGAAGTCCTTCATAAACATTCTTCATTATGGTTGCATGACATGATCGCAGCGGCAGACTATTGGCCTCCTATAGAAGAGCCTATTGGAATATCTTTTTATGATTGCAATGGTAGAGAGTTGAAAGCGCCATGAGATGAGAATGATTGAGAACTTGAGGATGAGGAGGAGAGTCATGAGAATGATAGTGGTGGAACACAAAGCGACCTTACTGGGATGATGATGATGCGTCTAGTGCAACTACCAGAGATATTGATCAGACAATCCAGCTTAAATTTGAGATGTATAGTTATCTGAGATCAATTGTTATCAGAGAAAAAAATTTCGAGGTTTACCAAATCATCATATTTTCGTTATTGAAGCCAGAAATGCACATCAGCATCAATACTGATTATGGATATTTCAGTGTCGTGGGAGGTCATGAAATTGTTGCTTGATTATTGATATCAACCTGTTTCTATCATTTTTTTTATCTGAATTACTCTACTTTTTATACATGTCTTTTTATGCTTTGTTCTCTGTAAGTACAATTCAGAATGCTTTTGTGATCAATTAAACTTTTCTTGATTGTGAATATCCTAATTGACCATTTCAAACGATGATAATGAACACCTTAATGATGGAATAACAAGAGCTGTGTTTAGAAAATCTCAAACAATAGTCGAGTCATTAATGCAGGTCAAACTAAGAATGACTTGAGCCGTGTAGAGATTGATGGCTTGATCTTCAAGTTCTGGGGAGAATGCAAAAGACTTCGTTTCCATCGGAAAGTGAATGGAGTTTTTGGAGACTCCTACCCTGATTAACTCGATCATTTTATGAGGTCAGGCATTTGAGAAAGTTAGCCCCATCTTGAACAAACGTTCATCAATAACACAATAATTGACTGATTGAGATTTCAACTCTTCCTCTACCAGGTCACTGGGTAGAACTCCTAAACCAAGAATGCTCTAATAGGATTTGATGCTTCTTGTTTTTTTTCCGATCCTGTTGGTAGTAGTTAATTAGCCTGTGAAGTTTTGCAAGTAGGCCTGGGTAAAAAAATCGATTAAACCAATCAAATAGGTTTGACACAAGTAATTTGTTTTGTTTGATTTTCTTTTAAATAAGACTATAGTGGTTTGGTTCAGTCATAGTTTGAAGTTTCAAATCGCTGGTTAATCAATCCAACTCACTTATATATTTACCTTTTTTTAAGACAAATAAAAATCAAAAGATAAGTTTTATTCTCATAACTATATCACGATTCACTCTTGATGTTGCCGATGAGCGATATTACTGAAATTTTCATTTCACAAGTTTATTATGTTATTCCTAGTTTTTTTCCACTCAAGCTATCAAATTACATAACATATAAAAAGGTAACAAAATTTTTAAGTTTTTCGTTAATCTGTTTCTAGTAACCTAATTTTATTTGTTAATCAATAATTCTTGTAATATTAAGTTATTTTAGTTCTTGTAATTTAATTGGGTCAAAACTTGGACAAAATCAGAATCAGAAGAAGAACTAAATTTAATGAATAACATAATTATGAAATGTCTACATAATTGGCAAAAATATAAAGGAGCAGATAATATAACTTGTTATTTATGCAATTGGTATCCAGTAAGAAAGCTTAGAGCTAAATGTTTAGAATATTATAAAGAATCACGTATAAAATGTTTAGAAGAAAAGAACCTTATTGAAAAAGAAGAAATTAATTCAGAAATTTTAAAAGAAAAAATTGAAATGTCAGAAATAAAAATTCTTAGGAAAAGAATAGAAAGTTTAGAAGAAATGCGAAAATTTATAATAAATAAAATAGAAATGTTAGAATATAATGATAAAAGAAAAACAATAGAAATAGAAGAACAAAGTCAAGGTACAGAATATAAAGAAAAAGAATATGTTCAAGTAATATGTAATCCAGAAAAACTTAAAAGTATTAAGGTAAAATGTTACATAAGAATAGGACAATATGAAATA